CACACGTATCACATATTGGATTTGTACGGTAGGGTACCTGGAGTACGTGACTCGACACCCTAATCACAGATAGGATGTGTACGGGGGGGCCCCTGAAGTACGTGTCTCCTCACACTAATCACAAACAAAATATGTACGGGAAGGTTCCAGAAGTACGTGTCTCGTCACACTAGTCACAAACAAAATATGTACGGGAAGGTTCCAGAAGTACGTGTCTCGTTACATTTATCACAGATAGAAATGGGTACGGTAAGGTTCCTGAAGTAAGTGACTCGTCACATTTATCATAGATAAAATGTGTACGGTAGGGTCGCTGAAGTACGTGTCTCGTCGCACTAATCACAAACAAAATATGTACGGTAAGCTTCCTGAAGTACGTGTCTCGGCACACTAATCACAAAGAAAATATGTACGGTAAGCTTCCTGAAGTACGTGTCTCCTCACACTAATCACAAACGAAATATGTACGGTAAGGTTCCTGAAGTAAGTGACTCGTCACATTTATCACAAATAGAAATGTGTACGGTAAGGTTCCTGAAGTACGTGTCTCTTCACACTAATCACAGATCGAATGTTTACGGTAGGGTCCTTGGAGTACGTGACTCGTCACCCTAATCACAGATAGGATGTGTACGGTAGGGTACCTGAAGTACGTGTCTCGGCACACTAATCACAGATATGATGTGTACGGTAAGGTTCCAGAAGTACGTTTCTCGTCACATTTATCACAGATAGAAATGGGTACGGTAAGGTTCCTGAAGTAAGTGACTCGTCACATTTATCATAGATAAAATGTGTACGGTAGGGGCCCTGGAGTACGTGACTCGACACCCTAATCACAGATAGGATGTGTACGGTAGGGTCCGTGAAGTACGTGTTTCGTCACACTAATCACAAACGAAATATGTACGGTAAGGTTCCTGAAGTAAGTGTCTCGTCACATTTATAACAGATAGAAATGTGTACGGTAAGGTTCCAGAAGTACGTGTCTCGTCACATTTATAACAGATAGAAATGTGTACGGTAAGGTTCCAGAAGTACTTGTCTCGTCACATTTATCACACATGAAATGTGTACGGTAGACGGTAGGGTCCTTGAAGAATGCGGCTCGTTACACTAATCACAGAATGTGGTTCATGCAAGGATATATCCCGATTAGGATATGGACCATTTAAAATCAAAATGCGGTGAATTTTATCCCTATCTGAATGGAAAGATACTGTTAAACCAAAACAAATCTATTTTTCTTGCATTTTTGGTCTTTTATTTAAATATACTAATCACATATAAAATGTGTACGGTAGGGTCCTTGGAGTACGTGACTCGTCACTCTAAACACAGATAGGATGTATACGGTAGGGGCCTTGAAGAAGGCGACTCGTTACACTAATCACATATGAAATGTGTACGGTAGACGGTAGGGTCCTTGAAGAATGCGACTCGTTACACTAATCACATATGAAATGTGTACGGTAAGGTTCCTGAAGTACGTGTCTCCTCACACTAATCACAAACAAAATATGTACGGTAGAGTCCCTGAAGTACGTGACTCGCCACACTCATCACAGATGAAATGTGTAAGGTAAGGTTCCTGAAGTAAGTGTCTCGTCTCCTTTATCACAGATGAAATGTGTAAGGTAAGGTTCCTGAAGTACGTGTCTCGTAACACTGATCACAGATAGAATGTGTACGGGAGGGTCCCTGACTCGTCACACGTATCACATATTGGATTTGTACGGTAGGGTACCTGGAGTACGTGACTCGACACCCTAATCACAGATAGGATGTATACGGTAGGGTCCTTGAAGTACGTGACTCGTTACACTAACCACAGATAGAATGTGTACGGTCGGGTCCCTGAAGTACGTGTCTCGTCACACTAATCACAAACAAAATATGTACGGTAAGGTTCCAGAAGTACGTGTCTCGTCACATTTATCACAGATAGAAATGTGTACGGTAAGGTTCCTGAAGTAAGTGTCTCGTCACATTTATCACAGATGAAATGTGTACGGTAGGGTGCCTGAAGTACTTGACTCGTTACACTAATCACAGATATGATGTGTACGGTAGGGTCCCTGAAGTACGTGACTCGTTACACTAATCACAGATAGAATGTGTACGGTAGGGTCCCTGAAGTACGTGTCTCGTCACACTAATCACAGATAGAATGTGTACGCTAGGGTCCCTGAAGTACGTGGCTCGTCACACTAATCACAGATAGAATGTTTACGGTAGGGTCCTTGGAGTACGTGACTCGTTACACTAATCACAGATAGAATGTGTACGGGAGGGTCCCTGAAGTACGTGACTCGTCACACTAATCACATATAGAATGTGTACGGTAGGGTCCCTGAAGTACGTGTTTCGTCACACTAATCACAGATAGAATGTGTACTGTAGGGTCCCTGAAGTACGTGACTCGTCACAGTAATCACAGAAAGAATTGTACGGTAGGGTCCCTGAAGAACGTGACTCGTCACACTAATCACAGATAGAACGTGTACGGTAGGGTCCCTGAAGTACGTGACTCGTTGCACTAATCACAGATAGAATGTGTACGGTAGGGGCCTTGGAGTACGTGACTCGTTACACTAATCACAGATATGATGTGTACGGGAGGGTCCCTGAAGTACGTGACTCGTTACACTAATCACAGATATGATGTGTACGGGAGGGTCCCTGAAGTACGTGACTCGTCACACTCATCACAGATAGAATGTGTACGGTAGGGTCCCTGAAGTAAGTGACTCGTCACACTAATCACAGAAAGAATTGTACGGTAGGGGCCCTGAAGTACGTGACTCGTCACACTAATCACAGAAAGAATTGTACGGTAGGGTCCCTGAAGTACGTGACTCGTCACACTAATCACAGAAAGAATTGTACGGTAGGGTCCCTGAAGTACGTGACTCGTCACACTAATCACATATAGAATGTGTACGGTAGGGTCCCTGAAGTACGTGTCTCGTCACACTAATCACAGATAGGATGTGTACGGTAGGGTCCCTGAAGTACGTGACTCGTTACACTAATCACAGATAGAATGTGTACGGTAGGGTCCTTGGAGTACGTGACTCGTCACACTAATCACAGATAGAATTGTACGGTAGGGTCCTTGGAGTACGTGACTCGTTACACTAATCACAGATAGAATGTGTACGGTAGGGTCCCTAAAGTACGTGACTCGTCACACTAATCACAGATAGAATGTATACGGTAGGGTCCCTGACTCGTCACACGTATCACTTATTGGATTTGTACGGTAGGGGTCCCTGAAGTACGTGACTTGTCACACTGATCACAGATATAATATGTTGAATATATAATGTAGAATGTATTTATATCAAAGTTATACTTCATACACAAACAATACAAATCGCACACTCGGTCATAGCTTGATAAAGGTACATTATTTGTGTATAAAGTAAAACTTTAATATTACATATTTCCAAATTGATGAATCTTTTTGAAGATATAAGAATGCATTTTATTAAGGACTTTACATTGATTCGCCGTCAGTAGTCTCTTTTCTCTCCGAGCCCGCAGTATTTAAATTGTATGCATCCATAAGGATATTCCAAGGCATTCACATACAAAAGGGCATTAACGATACCCCAGGCTGAAGGACATTAACGATACCCCAGGCTAAAGGGCATTAACGATACCCCAGGCTAGAGGGCATTAACGATACTACAGGCTAAAGGGAATCAACGATACCCCAGGCTAAAGGGCATTAACTATACTACAGGCTAAAGGGAATTAACAATACCCCATGCTAAAGGGCATTAACAATACCCCAGGCTAAAGGGCATTAAAGATACCCCAGGCTGAAGGACATTAACGATACCCCAGGCTAAAGGTCATTAACGATACTACAGGCTAAAGGGAATTAACAATACCCCATGCTAAAGGGCATTAACGATACCCCAGGCACGATACCCCAGGCTACAGGGCATTAACGATACCCCAGGCTGAAGGGAATTAACGATACCCCATGCAAAAGGGCATTAACGATACCCCAGGCTAAAGGGCATTAACGATACCCCAGGCTAAAGATACGCACTGGCCTCTTTTTTGTTTTAGTTTTTCTGTCTAAAATCGTTAATGTTTCGTTTTGTACGTGTCAGGGCATATTGCTATATGTCTATTGCCGCTTGTTTCCTTTGTATTACGTGACTCGTCACACTAATCAGATTAAATATGTAATGTAGAATGTATTTTATATCAAAGTTGTACCTCATACACAATCAATACAAATCGCTCACTCGGTCATAGCTTGATATAGATACTTTATTTGTGTATAAAGTAAAACTTTAATATTACATATTTCCAAACTGATGAATCTTTTTGAAGATATTAGAATGCATTTGATTAAGGACTTTTCATTGATTCGCCGTCAGTAGTCTCTTTTCACTCCGAGCCCGCAGTATTTCAATTGTTTTAACATTAAATGCATCCATAAGGATATTAACGATTCATGGTCACCATGTAAAAACATTAGATTAATTCAAGTCAAGTCCATTTAATCACTACATAAAACTATGACCGCACGAGAGAGTATCACTTAGGGAGTTTCGACTTTGGATTATGATTAAAGATATTATGAAGAAAATTATGTAAGTGTATGCTACTTACACTTTTAAGAGACGAGTTATTTTTATGTCATCTGCCTAATATTAAAATCAGTACAAGTAATATGGGAACAGTAGTACAACTGTAATGAGTTAACTAGAGCAATTAGCGATAGATACCAAGTGTTGCTACAAGGCTGTAAGTCCTTTTTTGTTTCTTCATGGTTTCTTAAAGAAGAGCCACACGTTTCACCTATTAAGATAACATGCAGTGGAATGCTGGTCTAAACCTTTGATGTACTTTGAGGACAGATCTAAGTGAGATGTGTTGGACGAGCTACATATATATCTTTGGTTATTGGGATAATTTTCCCCCGCCAAACTGCATATACAAAGCAACACTAAATACAAGGTAAATGAGCATGGATGTATTTAATAATATTCTGTTAATCACATTTGCACAAGGTGAGAATGTCTTTGTTTTATATTTATTTTTGGTACATTCAAATTGGATTAACAGAAATACTTGTTATTCAATTAAACGACAAGAGACAAATATATAAAAAAAAGTTGACAGAAGCGTACTTATATATGTATCAAAGGAGATGTAATCCATATAGGAATTGTTTGTTCTGCGTGATGACAATATATGAATAGATACTTTCAAAGCAGTAGTCAATTTTCTACAAAACAACCCAAAACTTCGTCCAATGACTGTAAGAGTGCCTGAATAATGCTGAAGACCTAACATCTTTTTTCTGCAATTACTTTGTATCTATTGGCTGTGTAGCCAATAAAGCCGGTACACTCCGGCGAGTAGTCGGCTTTGACACCTGGTGGCAGCTTAATGTTAAATTGATGTAGGATAAGGGCAAGGATGATCACGAGTTCCGGTTTGGCAGTAGACTCTCCCAAACAAACCCTCAGTCCGGCAGAAAAAGGAAGGAAACTTTCTGGTTTCCTCGCCAACGTGCCATCCGAATTCAAAAATCGCTCAGGGTCCAATTTAGACGGTTCTTTCCAGTGCCGCGGGTCGTTGTGTAACGCCCAGTGGTTAATGATGACTGTGGTACCCTTGGGTACGGTGTACCCACCTGTAACAAAGTAACAATGGCATTGTATCATTTCGTATGATGTATCCTCCTACATGTATAATAACATATTTACAATATTATCATTATCTGTAACATGTATCATGTGTAATAAAATGTTTACAATATACTTTTCACCTATAACATATTAACAATGACATTTGTATCCTCGTTCATGTATAATAGCGTACTTATAATATACTCCTTATCTGTAACAAATAACAATAGCATTATATCATGTATAATAGCGTACTTATAATATACTCCTTATCTGTAACAAATACCAATAGCATTGTATCGTGTATAATAAAATGTTTACAGTATACTCTTTACCTGTATTTTATATATATATATATACATTTAATAGCCCAGGCATGCATACATCATTCGTGGGTTGTCTGGGGATGGGCTGCCCCAGCTACAACCCACAATTCATGAAACACTCCCTATTTTCTTTCTTTACAAATCAACACTTGTTCATTTCTTTCTCTCTCACTTTTTCACACTCTCATACTATTATTTATTATTTGTTTACCTTTCTTTTTAACACTCTCGTATAAACCCTCCTTACACGGAGTAACAAAAACAAAACAAAAAATAATACGGAACTTTTGTCCGGTTTCCGGGTTCCTTAGCTACATGTATGTGTTTTCATGCATTTCCGCTAATTGTTGTGAACAGTGTAACATATTAATAATGACATTGTATCATTAATATGATGTATTTTGCTACATGCAAAATAGCATATTTAAAATAATTTCCTTATATAAAAACTATTACCAATGTGATTGCCTTATTTGTATTCCCCTGTAATAACATGTTTACAATAAAGTTTGTACACATAATGAAGTTTTCCTATAACGTACATGACTGTATATACAATACGAGGGATGCCTATAACACATTTATAATAAAGTTGTACACGTACATTACATATTTGACAGTTTATTCCTAAATGACTTTACCTGTTAAATGACGCTATATCCCATAAACCAAACCATTTGAACATATTTACAATTAGGTTGTACCTTTGCAAGATCTGAAGACCTTTATCCCGTAAGAGTCGATCAATGCCCCAAAATAGTGATTTTCTGTTACTCCAGTCTAGTTTTGTTTGTTATAATTTGAAGTCATTGCGACAGCTAAGGTAAGATATGGATTGTCATGCAATAGAGAAGACTGCAGGGCGAGAAATCCCATTAAGTCACATTATTTTAAAATCGGAATAATTCGTCTGTAACGCTTGTATTTAAAGCTGCATGTCACGAACAGCACAGTGAGAAGAACACCTTTAATGATTTATGTAGTGTCGCTGAAGCGAACGCTCAACACCAAGTTCAAAAGGTATTGGCAAGAAACGAATATGTCAGTGTGACATTACGGCCGCTCACCACTTTAAATTTAATTGCTTCAGTACATGTATCACATTGAGCATCAATATCTACTTTAATACCTCAGACATGTGTTCTGTATTCTGCTTATTGAAAATCAGGTCATGTGATGATGTTGCCTTTGGGATTTTCAAAATCAATCGCCTCTTAAATGATGCCTTAAAAACATTTCTCCCTCTCCTCGTTTTTCACCCTCCTTAATTGTGACGCATTGTTGTAATTTTCATTAATTAGCATCCTCCAATGATGTGAAATGAGCATTTACGTGCAGAATGGCAATCGGTGAATGGATAATAAATAATAGGTGCATTTTGTGCTTGTGAAATGAAGAATAATTAACAGTAGTGGGAAAACACGCATGGAGAAAAGAGACATTGTACTCCTTTAATTTATTTTTATTTTTGATTCATATTAATAATAATTATTAATATATGTAGCGACTATATTTACCGTCATTGAATATACAAAATCTCACAAATGTTCTTAGAATATATTTGAATTATATTCCTCGATGTGACTTCAACAACGTAAGAATTATTTGCCATACACCGAATTGGATACTTTTTTGACACGGCGCGAATTCTTGTCAAACAGCAGTGGCTATTGTCATGTTCTTAAATTGTTACACTTTCACAAATCAATACACCAGAAATACCATGCTGTGTTACAGAAATGTTTGATAAGCATACACAGTTCACATGTGGTAGCAACGATGGTTAAATACCGTTATCAACCTTTAAGCACGGTGTCATATTACGTTTCCGTTTCAAACATCAAAATAGAGGTTATACTTCATCACTCATACGGTTTATAAGTATAAATATACACTTCTTCCTTCTACAGACAGCGTCAATGCTTGACAGTCTTCACATGTGCTTTCTCGAATCATATGTGTTTCACACGCGTAACACTCCTCAGACCGCAATCCGAGTTGCTAAAACGCTCAAACCTTGTGCACGAATTTCACCACAACAACACCACATGCTCGGGTTCTGGAATATATGTGATATATTGTCGCACCCACTAGATATCGCACCCCCTTATACTAATAAATCATATGATTAGTATAAGGGGGTGCGATATGATTTATTAGTATACGGGGGTGCGATATCTAGTGGGTGCGACAATATATCACATATATTCCAGAACCCGAGCACTTGTGCACAACACTCGTAGAATGCACCGGAGATAAACGTTTTGTTTTCAGCAATCACGTATGGATTATTATTTGGAGAAGAGTATCAGAAGACCTTATGTAACCCACAGGTGAGTGTCAGAGATTCTACTTTCTATTTACAATAACGAAACTATATAGCAGAAGCATGCAAGACTGAATTATGCGCACGCACCCCGAACGGAAGTGGGTCCGTCATTTCGTTCTCAGGACAGAATTAATAAGCTGCTCGGCTCTCGCAAAGAGCGGCTTAAAAATACTTAGTAGTGGTTGCAGCAGATTTATTGAAATTCCCATTCATTATGGAGTTTCTTAGTTATGTACCTTTCAGATCATGTGATTTGCATATATTTTATTTTTTCAACCCGTGACCTGCAGGGCTGACAGTGAAGAAACCAAAGTTGATACATGTCCCATTGGAAACCATAAGAACCTCTAACTTCTCTTTTTCTTTCTCCAAACCTTACAAATCTCATTGGCAACACTTCCCTATCACTTGACACTTGGCACAATGAAAACTCTGATATGCAGTATATCACTTTGACGTATTCAGACAAGGACACTCTGTTTTGAGATACCTACATATAGTATACAATTAAATGGTATTGCAATTTTAAGAAATAATCACCGGGTGCGCGTGTATAATGGTTGAATATAAAATAAAGATGAGAAAAAGTTGGAAATTTTAATTAACGAATGAGTTGATCCTTTTTGCAACATTTTCAAATCCCGAGTTATTTCTATCGTAAGATACAAACCTGCGGTGATTATTTCTTAAATAAGCAATATTTAGATTCTTACCAACAGAGGAGTCTACCATGGTCATATGTGGCATTCCTAGTGGCGCAACAGAGGCGATTCGCATCACCTCGAAAAGCGTGGCTTCAGTGTATGGAAGGGAAGGTCGGTCGTCTACTCGAGGAAGGCGGTCACGTCCTGTAAAAACAGTATTTGAAATTAGCAGAAAGGTTCTCCATAATCTTATTTACTTAAGTTCGCCACGATATTTTGAAATTAATTAAAAACATTATACGATATTTATATATATAAACTACTAAACGTCTTATCACCAATTTCTTCCTCGTATTGCGTTTCATACAACCAGGTCATTGATGGGATTTTGGAAACATAAAAGTGATCTCAAATTGTGTTACTCCTCTGTAACCGAAAACATGACAATCATGGTAATTTCAACATGGCATAGATTTTTGTTACTTGCGTACATACTTATCCTCTGATACCGTGTATGTAGCCAGCCCCTGATCGAGTGGGCTCATCATGTTCTTTGATACATACCCACCACCCTGTCCAGTTCGGCCTGTACTTTCCTCTGCACGTCCTGGTGATCAGCCATGTACAATAAAGCCCATTGAATGGTAAATCGTGTTGTATCGAATGCCGCTGTTAATGAAAAAGCGAAACGTTTACGTCACCGGAACCGGAAAAGACATTAAAACAAACACAGCAATGATTCATAAGGTATCAACATTAATACATGTAATTTCTTTAAATGAAGTTATACAATAACATCTGTAAAATGCAGGAACTATGAATGAAAAAAACCACATCCTGAAATGTAAATAAAATATGCAAGTAAGCAAAACATATTAATTAATAATAGTTTTTAGTTAAACAACTATGTTAAATTGATAGCCATTGGCGTAAATATGGAGTTAAGAAGATACATATTCGTTATCATATATAGGCCAAATACTGATGAACCAGTATTCTAAAATGAATTATAATAAATTTAACAAACACACAAATTAACAAACGCAGACATGTCTAATTCGATGAAAATTCAATTTCTTATCTTCATATAACAAAGATAGTTTATAATTCTGTACATTCATGTAACTGGATTGATCTTTTAAAATTAACAGGACATCTTTCCTATGGCGTCATTTGACAGGTCATGTACAATTCTTTAAAGATATACTTGGAGAAGAAAAACGCAATTAACCAGGCCAGAGTAGATTTCAGGCTTAGATAAGAAATCCATCTAAACCAAACAGACATGAACATATATTTATCAAAAAAAATCCAGAAAAAACATTTTTGATACATCCATGACAACCCAAAGCTATACATGTTGGCTGATGGAAGTTTAATAATACTCTGGTATTGTAACAAGAACACCTTTAGATGTTTACTGTATAGAGTAACTTTTCAACTATATGCTATTTTTACAGTCCTTTTTATTATCTGCATTATGAACGCAGCATTATGACGGAAGGTTCCAAAATGTACATGCAATTTAGCCAAAATCATGTCATTTATAAGCTTGGTTCCAAAATTAACTACCCCATATCTCGGAAAGGTCTCTAATCTGACCTTAATTTCATTTCATACCATGATGGGCCAAGCCATACTAATGAATAAATAACAAGATAATATAATATAATAAAATAAGCAAATAAATACATAAATAGATAAAATATCTAATCCGTTTTAGCCATTAAACACTCCAAATTGGCACCCATCATGCCTTAAACATTTTAAGAGGTAATTGCCACTATGACACGATAGCAAAGTTTTGCAAAGAGTTCAAAATTAACAGTCAGTAGCAGAAAACAAATCTTCAGTGTGTCGGAAACTGAATTGCTGATACAAAATTTACCTTACTTGAAAATATTTTTTCCAGTGAATCTTATCGATATTGCAGGAATAAGCTATGCTAAAGTTATACATTATATTGACTAAACTTTAAAACAACGATGACAAAGAGTCCGTTTGCAGTTGGACTATTTCATCGGTACAAAACTAAATATCTTGATAGAGTTGTGGTATTTAAGACACTTAAGGCTGAAATCTCGTTACCCGTGAAAGTATCCGAGAGTGTTTGTCTCAGATGGACGTCTGTCAGTTGACTCAGTATCTCTACATCCTCCTCGTTCTCAGCCTCTTTCCGCGCCATTAGTAGGCAGTCGGCAAAGTCCCGGATGTTCCCTTCATTGCACAAATGAACATTCATTAATTGTTGTACTTAATTCGGGAGATAGTGGCAGTATGTTAGAAAATGCTTGTTTGATGGAGTATGCCATCATCAGGAAAGTAAGATATATAGAGATGCAGGGTGTACAAGAAGCGACGTAAATATGTAATGATATATTTATTGAACTTTGTCATGTAGTTGATTTATAAATTCAAATATAAAAACAAAATGTATGTTTTGAATAAGTTGTGAGATATGTAGAAATTTTAGTTAAAAACAAAATGTAACACTAACCTTCATCAAAATCTTGTTTATGAGCTTCCAGCTCTTCATGGATATAGTGAAGAAGCTCCCTAAATAAGCTTACTACTTTCTTGTATCGTTGACTTTGCCAAACCTTTGCCAAAATGGGATACAAGTCCTCAATGAGCCCCATTCCGAACTCTGCCACGAACTGGTTGTCTATATCTAAGTAATGCTTGAACTTTGGGTCGTCAAATTTATATCTAAACACCAAATTAATTGTGCATGTTATTGATTGAGGAAGAATGTATTTCCTTTCAATGGGTGCACTTCTTACGATTCGACCATGAACTAATTTAGATAAACATTTGATGTAAGAAGAAAAAGAATTTAAAGAAATATTTAACTTTACGATCGGAAATGTTAATGATCTCAGTATTCCGTCTTTTCGTATAGCAGAGTTATCTGCTCTTGTGAGCAAGTATTGAAAAACGGTTTTAAGATTCAGATCCATAGATTTATTATTTTATTAGATTAGTGTATTTATAGATTATAAAAATATGATTCAATAATGTTGAGGTATGAAAGGTCGATTACAATCAAGTTTGTAGTATATCTTACACTTTTTGAAAGCACACTCCACATATAATATTGAACAGAGCCAGATCAATATATTCGTGAGGTATGAAAGGGTTTCCCTTCGTTTCCTCGAACAGCTTGATAAATTGTCCCATGGACTTTTCTAATATCGTCTGCAGGAAGGGACCTTTGATGTACTTCCTGTAAACAAAAATTGTCATGTAGGAATATAACGCAATTCCTCTAAATATGCTGTCATAATTCAATCACATTTACAGTTTTGTGCAGCCTATACTGTTAATTATTAAAATACAAATCCGTATAATGCGTCAATTTTAATTGAACAGGCAGTCACCCGATCGGTTGTAATGCAAGGATCAGATGCATTTTATATTTATGGCAGTAAAACTATAACCATGTACTTATCGCGTTCTCCTGGAATTTGAGAATATAACTTTTCTAATCCAGACATGATCGATTTTGAATGGCCGTTCTGAAGAACACATTTCTCAGCAAATAAGATTCTATCATGATTGTACTGTATATCGAACTTACGCAAAACTTAAATCAGATGTACACATAAACTTCCAAAAACTATTTTTTCAATATTTGATAATTGTTTTCTGAGACGACATTATAAATATTCCAGTCAATCAACTTGGAATTGAAGCGAGCAAAATTTACTCTTTACATTGCCACAGCAGTGGTCAAAATATAATATCATATTTTGTACAATTCTATGAAATTATCTCTCTGGGCCTGCAAAATACATAATATTTGGTATAGCTACGTTATGCATTTAATTCAAAACATTAGGTAGAGTGTACAAAGGGAAATAACTCCGCTTGAACGATTACATCATATTGGTATGATATCAAAATAATCACATTTTGATTACATTTTTGTTAATTCTTGTAACAAGAAATGTTAAACGGGGATGGTTTCTAAATTATTTCCTAAACAGAATATACAAAACATAATCAGTGGTTTCTTACCAAAGTACATAGTGAGATTCAGTATGTTGTTCACGCAAATCGAGACTAACAAGGATTAGAATTAAAACTCATGTACGTCATCGCGTAGGTTATAATGATACATACATATGCAATAATGATACCACACCCATGTAAGTTTAGTGACACCTACCGAAGTGCAGCACTGACTATCTTGCGGTGAACCTTTAAGCTTGGCGTGTACTGTGACATTAGTATATCCTTCCCTCCTTCACTTAACGTCATTCCTGTATTAATGAACGCCAAAGAAACTCAATGACTAGAGGAATTACCATATATAATACTACCTCATTGTTACACTAAATTGCGAATTTAGGGATTTTGTGTCCTCTTTCTTTAGAAAGCAATTGCTGCATTTGACATTTTTATATTTGCTGTTACCCACGGCATGTATCGTAAGAGGCGACTAATATGGGCATCCCCTGTAGAATTCGGGATTTTATTTTGCGCCTTCTATTTGGGGACACAAAAGCGACCAAAATAAATCTGCTGCACCCATTGCAACATTTTGGATCTTTATCTTTCTTTCTACTTCTTACTACCTTGCGCCTAGTTTGGCAATACCTCACTTCTTGCTTTAATGTTGATGGTTCGCCCAGGTGAGGAAGGCAATCGGTTCTGTCCCCAGGTCTGGGCATACCAAAGTCATTAAAAATAGTAGTTGTTATTCCCTGCTTAAATGTTTAGCATTGAGAGTAATGGCATCATTAGGTTGGGTTAGTATGATGTGACCGGGCGGAATGCTGTGCTAGGTGCCTTCGGCATGGTGTTTCAGTGAGATAGTACTATAAAGTCGCCTTCAGATCCGCGCTATTACAAGGAAGCAAGTACACCAGCATACCCTGTCTGCAGCAAACATATACACTTGTACGCTCACACAAGACAAATAGAGGCACGTCCTTAAATTGTAGAAAATTGTTACCTTAGATTGTAATAGGGCGTTAAACAAAATAAAACCAAACACTTTTTTGAAACAACAATATCATCAAAAAGCCAATGCAGGGATGTGTCGGTCAGTCAGGGTATCGATGTATGCGATATAATACATACCTGACGGAACTGGGGGCCTCCCTGCGAAGTCAGCACGCCTTTTGACCATAGCCTCCACCACAGTCTCTATGCTGTTTAAAACGACGGTTTTTGAAGGACCTAGTATATTAAAAGACAGTTATACACAAAGATAGACGGCGGAATCACGAATATTTATCTTCCTGTATTGACCGAAACAAAATATATTTTTTTCGGTCATGTTAAAGCTGATGATGTCCGTGTAATTGGACATTAGCTACTAAATAACCAAAATGTAACCATCGTTTTCTGCTGAAGTCGGACATATATATAATACCTTCGAAATAACACATTCACACCATAGATTAAGGTTTCTTTATCAAACTTACCAAATTGAACTGTTACAACAGGCCCATACTTCTCAGACAGACGCGCACAAGCCTCGTGTATTTTCGGGTCTGTCAAAACTACAATGAAGAACAATATGAGGTCTGTATTAGTGAAACCGATAATGCGGAATTTCAGTAACGGGTCAATATTGGAATTCTAAAGATTGTCTCCGTTAAACCCGTGTGTCATCGCCATAGACATATATCATACCCAATATCACTGGAAGAATTGTTCCTCGTGCAAACATAAACATGTACATGAGGAACATAGAGTTACTGGCTCTTTTGTCCCCATCTAAAATGTTAAATGGATTTACCCCCCCCCCCTTTTATTCCATTACTCACCCATTTTTTCTTTTGCTTAGGATTTTATCTCTTTGACTCGTATAATGTAGTATAGAACCGGGTTCCTAGGGAGATGCCATCGCAACAAAATGGTAGGCTAGAGAGATTGAAAAATACGTTTTTGTTAAAAATGATTTTCGTTGGAAATAAATTTCGGTTGCAGATCCATTTTTTCATTTCCTAAATATCCTCGTAGGAACAGAGGAAAATCAGTCTACTCTCCAGCAGGTAGTACATGAATGCATGCATGAATGAATGGGTGCTGGAGGCAGGGTTTGCCCCTTGCGATTTCACGAATCTGATGCCGAATTATACGAGCAGTTCTACATCACTAATATAACATGCCGAAAGCACCCAAGACAGCATTCCGCGGCGAACACGATATATACCTAAATAAATATTTAAGTTTGTTCCTAATAATGGTGCTTCCTAGTCTGGACATAGTTCCCGAATGTTGATATTAACAGTGCTGAAAGCAATTCGTGTACATTTATGGCATGCAAACATGGCGTATTCCTAGGGATAATGAGGGTTTGGGAACTGCTGTGCGCCCAATTTCAAAATGTCAAATAATCGCCTAAAGTTAAGTAATTCTAAATAATAAAAACACTAAGAAATTTACAGTGAACAATCACTTAAACTAAAAGACACTATTGGACTGCCCGGTTAAGAATGTTTTGGACAACGTATGTTTTCTTTGGAATTTTTAGCCTGCCGCAATTCTTTGATGATACATAGATTTCGATTGATAAAATTAGGATTTTACAATCCTTTAACAGTCAGCTCTGGGAAAAAAATGAAAAAATAAAACCAATTTTAAAAGTTGTAAAATGTAAAGATACAAAGCAAGACATAATTTGTTGCCGAATCAAACCCGGAACCCATTCACAATTTGTCGAGAGGAGGTACAAAGTAAATGTCTATATGATGACAGGTTTTAATATCATGAGAGGCGACTAATGTGACCCTCTCCAGTGGTCTGGGACTTAATGTTTGAGAATAACACATGCAGTTTGCATGATTCGTTCCCTAGCCCCAAACACTAAGCGATCCCTCTACCTACGTTTATAGTTTCCGATGACCGGGAGGGCCATGGGTCCGGGTGGGTACTTGGGCTTGGTTATTAACCGACACAGTATGAATACCACAAGGAAGAGTAGGAAACATGACGTAGGCGTGACGCTTGTGGTAACAAGACTATAGTCCATCATGTTACCTAGGTGAGCAGGCAAGATGTGTCGTATGGAATCCATCCTTCACTTACTCACAACACAGAATCTGTCAGAGACAAAAGTCATAATTAGAAATTCGATATATGTTGAATCAGTATATATAAAAACATACTGCATGCTCACTATGTAAACATATATGATAAAAATGTAGTCGTGCGCATGCAACCTTTAAGACCTGATTTATTTAAGAAGTCATTATATATTGGCAAGTCTGTCGCTAAGCAGTTCACTTCCTACTTTTCAATTCATAAAGCACAACCACTGTAGGTTCAGGGAAGAATAGGTATATTGTATCCCGCTGCATATTAATAAGAGTCGATAAGAGTAATGTGGGCCCCTGTAGAATGTATCGGGGTTTGCCTTCCGTGTCATCCGCTTAGAGATCACTAAAGAAACCAAAATAGATAGGTTTCCCTCATTGCTACAGCTAGGATGTATATCTTATCTTATCTCAATCCTGTACTGATAACCATCTTCATATGACCCTAGCTGTAGCCAGGGCGTTAAACCCCAAACAAACAGAGACTCTAACAGAAGATGTTTGTATTTAATCTACCTGTGTAAAGAGTCCGCTAAGTTACCTTAGGAAAACCTTAAAGTTTTCCCCAACTTATGACTATTCCATGAATTTGTAATTATTATGTATGGAATTAAATCTATTGCATATGTTCTCCGACATTGTACAAGACATTTGTAAAGTATTTATCTATATGTATATTTCTGTACGCCTATATGCAATGTGCATTTGGTAATAAATTGAATTGAAAAATGGAATTGTAAAGTACAGTGTTGTCAGTATTGATTCACTGAGGATATAAACACACGCATGTAATTATTATGTTTAAGGTAGTGTTATGTGGGAAGTAACTAGTGCTCAACTTTCAACAAAAACCTGCTGAGGTATAATCTGACAAATGTCAAATAGATTCCAAATACCAATTGCTGTTGGAATTTTGTCATGAAATCAGATGTTATGATTCCGTGTCCTCTGTTTATGGGATATTGAAGAAATACAAATTGAGTTCCTGCTCAATTGCACAGTTTTTGACCTCAGTTTTTCTCTCCTACTTATGCTTCCTTTTTGGCGGTGACTCCCCAACCGCCCGTCCGAGGCAGGTAGCTCTTTCTAGGAAGTTAAACCCCAAATCAACAAATAAACAAATAACTCATGGTTGCAGTGACTTAGCTGATATAAGTTTACTGAACAATTTAACGGACTCCACTCGAATGTTCTACGAAACCAAACCGTTTCTGTCATCAATACAGCATAACAGAATCGCGTTATATCTTTATGATTTAGAATTTATGTCGTATTTCCATTTTCAAACAAACATGATGTCATAAGTAGTTATCAACCAAATGAATTGTCCTTTGATATATTTACAAAACCGAAAAGAACAATACAGCAATTAATGCATATACATAATCGAAACGAATATTAAAACAACTAGTTGGTCATATCAAATTCAGTTATTACTAAACTGAGCGGAACAAGACAGCAGTTTTATATTTGTACATTATCAAAAACCAAATGGCTTACTACATGTTTTTTTCAATGAAACTTGAATCGCTATTTATATAGGTCATAAATATATTTCATTTTCAATCTGTGTATATCATGAACAGCTATACACAGAATTTGTTAAATAAACCTACCTTATCTGCTCTATTTCCAGTCCTTTTTGCAGGTGTACAGAAAACCCGTGTTGGTAGGTTTTTCCGGCTTATATGGTCGTATTTGTTTGCTCTGTCAATGGGTTTTGTCCGACTTCGTCACTGGAACAGTATGGAGAATAAGAGAGGCCGGCAAATACATAGGTGATACGTGCTCGTTCTGTTTTGTTTTGTGTGAGTTTGTTATATTACTGCAATTTAGGGGCGGATTCCCCTAGTAAATATAACGCGATTAATAGAAAACGTTTCTTTCCTGTCTGACGCAAAATGTGCGTACATGTATTGTGAAAAGAGCAGAGTAAGAACACCTGTGAATGTCGAACAGGCGTGAAAGCCGTACATTAGTAAGTTGCGGAGACGGAAAGGCATGACTAGTGTTAATGTCAATAATATATCTATACGACCTTTCGTTTAACATTTCAAATCACACATCGTTTTATATAAACGCGATATATAATTCTACAATGACAGACACTCACTGAAATAATAGTAGATAATGATAATTGGCGTATTTAACCTCTTTGGCAAATTGTTGAGCATTGGACTCTCCTCGCAAAATCACAGCCATTACATATTGACATTTTTAATCCTTCTGGATGTTTGACGTGACATAACTACGGCGTGAGAAGAGAAAATGACACAAAATCTAGAACGTACAATTAAACGGACAGACGACAACAAATTGAGTCTAAATACCTCAATGTATGGTAATAGCATTTGTGTAGAAAGTGTTGAATGTAAAGCTGTTTGTATTAAATGTTGATGAGAACAATGCAATTCCGTCTTTGCGTATTGCAGAGGTATCTTCTCTTGGGAGCAGGTATTGATTGTTACATTAAATGTTTGTGAGAGGAACGTCATCATTTTTTGAGAAAACGACGTAATTTTTTCACACAAACCAATGACGTAACAATCAATACCTGCACCCAAGAGAAGATAACTCTGCAATACGCAAAGACTGAACACCCATATCAAAAGGATATAAGAACGGTGTTATTCCGAGGCTCTCATGTTTAACATATAGGTCTAAAGGTCTTCTTCTATCCAAATAACAAGGTGAGAAACAACTGCTGCGCAGATATCTTAAATTTAAAAATTAGCTGCATTTATCATACTGTGATACATGTATATTTTAACTAGTCTGTGATATGCATTCGTGTAATTTTACAACTTTTGTATTTTTTATATGATGTATATATGTATTAATACAATGCCGTTATGTGAAGTAGACATGAAATGACTTGTTTATCAATAGATCCTTACATTTACATTTCGGGTGAAATATGTAAGCATGTTGCTTTAACAAGACGACAATAGATAACAATTATATTGGGTTCAATCGGATTGTATATTGGGTTCAATCGGATTGAAGCATTTACCGTACATGTCATAAAACTTCGAGTCTTCTATAATCTTTATCACAATGGTGTATAAAGCTCACCTATAGCCTGTATCAGAACCTGTCATATAAACTTTTAACCGAGGAAACCTTACAATATAATGCTTATATTTTCTAGCTGGAATATTATAAGAGTGCATTTTACTTGACCCAGATGTATGAATCATACACCAAGAGTGGACTCTCTTCAATTCGAATACGTAATAATAATAATACTATTGACTAAACAAATGTTAACTTAGTGATTCAAACATAATTCTAACTGCAAATTTAACCATTACCATGGTGTGTTTATCCTTTACTCAAAGTGCTTACATATGCAACCCGTGCACGTTTACTTCCCTGTCATAAACTTTTTTTTTAAATATTCGTATGCATATCTTTTAGCATGATACTAACTCCGATCACAGTAAACCAGTTCACCCATTCAAACCTGACATCAACTAGATATCAGTGAGTATCAATGATTAGGACTTTGGTTTGTCTCGATCAGGGGACAGAACCCACAACTTACCTCACGTGGGCGAACCCTCAGTACCAATTATAACAACGGGTTACTATTGCCAAGTACACCGTACCCCTAAACGGTAAAAACCGCTGACGTATGCAATCTCCGATACTACCATCAATCAACACTGTGCCAGACTAAATCCTATCACAGGCTTTATCTTGACACGTATATTACCCATTAAATACATATTGCGTAGCAAACTACATTTCTGCATGTTACATGTACATACATATATGTCTTACTAGTTGTACAGGTGTAGGTAGATATTAATTGTCTAAATAAAACAATCTTACAGAATAATCATCGACAAAAGAAACTTAAATACTTGACAGCAGGTAACTGTTTACGGATCAGAAGCCGACTTCTGATTTGATAAGCAAGACATTCGTTGTTTTGCATTTTAACATTTCTTTAAATGCCCCTTTTTGTATGTAGTATGTAGTTTAGCGATACAGTAGAAGATGAAGTACATTTTATATTTAAATGCAAAATAAATTTAAATATCAGGACTACGTTTCACCAAAAAAATTAAAATTAACCCATCATTGCCTGATCTACATAAATTAATATTTTTAATATTGTCATCTAGTGACCCACAGCTTTTGCAGGAAATAAGCCTCTTTATTAAAAAGTCATTTGAACTGAGGAAGGCAGGCTTGCAGAATGCATAAGTATGTAGTTTTTGCTGTCCATTATATAGTATCAATGTTTGTTTGACGTTTGCAGCTCGATCCTTGTAAATTGGATGTAAAAATGCAATGAAGTTGATTGATTAATTGATAATAAATTAGAACGCAATGTCAAATAGACAGGGTGTCAATATCTAGCACAGCAATACCGTTTGAGATTAAGGGCGGTTTGCTTTGGGTTTTACGTCCTTGAAGCAGCTTAAGTCATATGAAGACAGTGTCAACGGAACATAGGACATGTCAATTGTGAAGAGCTGTCTGACAACGTGTTAGAACCTTGACCCAGTAGCAGGACACTGCACCTGATCACATGACCCTTTTGTCACGGTAATCAGTCCTTACCACCAACTATTTTCAGCTGAACTTCAGGCAAGGGACATTAAGTACACATTTTAACTACTTGTTATACTTTTTATCGTTTTTCTGTTCCAGCATAGAGTATTAGTAGGTCTGTTGTTATTATTGATTTTTAGACAGACATGTCAATAGACGGTTTTGATGAACCTTTTATTTTCGGGAAGGCCTAACCGCTGTAGTCGCTTCTCCAAACCTAACAATTTTTCACCAACTATATTACATTGACTATTGAAAATTAGTAGCCAATAACCTTATTTGTTCCTATACTCAACGATGTTAATGCGGCTAATTGGTTGCATTTTCCGGTCTCGAAAATAGTAACTTTCGAAAACTTTCACTCACAAAATACTAGATAGAAACAAACGGGAAAATAAATGATGTTTTAAAACAAATCAACCAACATAGGTATATGTACTGCATGCACGTGAAGTTTACACATGCTCAAATATGTTAAATTGAATATGACCTTCATGACTAGGATAAGTGGCTGACCGACCTTGATGACCTAAGAATACATCATACGAAGTGAATTTATGTGCCGTGAAGCACTATTAATAAGCTGAGGCTAGATTTCAACATATGCCTCAAGTGCAAACCCATACTTCAACTGTTCTAATAAAATGTAATCTCAATATATAAAGCGTAATTGATCTGCTAGTTTTGCCTATTTTAGATTATTTGTAAAATTCAATCTTTCTGTGTATAGCCCGTACGGGTTCAATTCAATTCCCTATTACCTTGAGCATCACGAGGTCAAAAGGGGAGGTCAGTCGCGCACGCCTACACGTACGGGTGACAGTAGTCCTAAGTATATACATCGAAACAAAATACTTCAGCGAACATGACAGTAGATGTTTACCGTATATTAATATATGAGGTAAGTTTTGTTTAAGAATAATTATAACGCGCATGCTTTCCGTTTGCTTTGTTTTTTTTCAAGAGGTGATATAGAAATGTCTACATACATCTCCGGGTGTTAAAACATGCGTGTATATAACATCAGAGATAAACTGTACGAAGATATATCCTCTTTCTAATACTTAAAGTAAAATGTACACTATTTAGACTTTCAAGCATTCAAATTTAATCAGAAAACGTATAGCCTTAGGGTGTCATCCGCACCGTCGGGGATGTCTGAATAATCATACTTTATTACATAATAGGACACATCACAGTCTATGTTTTAATGTGGTGCACATAAATGCACACCTGTAGAATATATGTGTGGTGATAGCTGTCATTAATGCACATCTGCAGAATATATGTGTGGTGATAGATGTCATTAATGCACATCTGTCGAATATATGTGTGGTTATAGCTGTCACAAATGCACATCTGTAGACTATATGTGTGGTGATAGCTGTCATTAATGCACATCTGTAGAATATATGTGTGGTGATAGCTGTCATTAATGCTCATCTGTAGAATATGTGTGTGGTGATAGCTGTCATAAATGCACATCTGTAGAATATATGTGTGGTGATAGCTGTCATAAATGCAAGTGTTAGCACTGTAACTGGTTGACTGACCTCTCGCGTGGACATGTCGAACTTATACAGGTGAGAAACACAACATTGCTCGATAGGAAGGTCCCATTACAATGGTACATATGTAACATGAGGGGTCAGACGTGCTGGCCTACATATATACGGGTACCTTACAACCGCGTATGGCATTTATCTATATGTATGTTTCTGTACGCCTATATGCAATGTGCATTTGGTAATAAAATGAATTAAAAAATTGAATTGTTAAGTACAGTACTGTCAGTATTGATTCACTGAGGATATAAACACACGCATGTAATTATTATGTTTAAGGTAGTGTTATGTGGGAAGTAACTGGTGCTCAACTTTCAACAAAAACCTGTTGAGGTATAATCTGACAAATGTCCAATAGATTCCAAATACCAATTGCTTTTGGAATTTTGTCATGAAATCAGATGTTATGATTCAGTGTTACAAATTGAGTTCCTGCTCAATTGCACAGTTTTTGACCTCAGTTTTTCTCTCCTGCTTATGCTTCCGTTTAACTCCCCAACCGCCCGTCCGAGGCAGGTAGCTCTTTCTAGGAAGTTAAACCCCAAATCAACAAACAAACAAACTCATGGTTGCAGTGACTTAGCTGATATAAGTTTACTGAACAATTTAACGGACTCCACTCGAATGTTCTACGAAACCAAACCGTTTCTGTCATCAATACAGCATAACAGAATCGCGTTATTTCTTTATGATTTAGAATTTATGTCGTATTTCCATTTTCAAACAATCATGATGTCATAAGTAGTTATTAACCTAATTGTTCTTTGAAATATTTACAAAATCGAAAAGAACAATACAGCTATTAATGCATATACATAATCGAAACAATTATTAAAACAACTCTACTTGGTCATATCAAATTTAGTTAGTACTAAACTGAGCGGAACAAGACAGCAGTTTTATATTTGTACATTATCAAAAACTATATGGCGTACTACTTGTTTTTGTCAATGAAACTTGAATAGCTATTTATATAGGTCATAAATATATTTCATTTTCAATCTGTGTATATCATGAACAGCTATACACAGAATTTGTTCAATAAACCTACCTTTGATATCTGCTCCATGTACAGTCCTTTTTGCAGGTGTACCCGTGTTGGGAGGTTTTTCCGGCTTATATGGTCGTATTTGTTTGCTCTGTCAATAGGTTTCGTCCGACTTCGTCACTGGAACAGTATGGAGAATAAGAGAGGCCGGCAAATACATAGGTGATACGTGTTCGTTCTGTTTTGTTTCATGTGAGTTTGTTATACTACTGCAATTTAGGGGCGGATTCCCCTAGTAAATATAACGCGATTAATAGAAGACGTTTCTATCCTGTCTGACGCAAAATGTGCGTATTGTGAAAAGTCCAGAGCAGAGCACGAACACCTGTGAATGTCGAACAGACGTGAAAGCCGTACATTAGTAAGTTGCGGAGACGGAAAGGCATGCCTAGTGGCAAGTGTTAAGGTCAAAGACATTTCTATACGCACTTTCAACCTTTCGTTTAACATTTCAAATCACACATCGTTTTATATGACCGACACTCACTGAAATAATAGTAGATAATGGTAATTGGCGTATTTAACCTCTTTGGCAAATTGTTGAGCATTGGACTCTTCTCGCAAAATCACAGCCATCACATATTGACATTTTTAATCCTTCTGGATGTTTGACGTGACATAACTACGGCGTGAGAAGAGAAAATGACACAAAATCTAGAACGTACAATTAAACGAACGGACGACAACAAATTGAGTCTAAATACCTCAATGTATGGTAATAGCATTTGTGTAGAAAGTGCTGAATGTAAAGCTGTTTGTATCAAATGTTGATGAGAACAATGCAATTCCGTCTTTGCGTATTGCAGAATTATCTTCTCTTGGGAGCAGGCATTGATTGTTACGTCATTGGTTTGTGTGAGAAAATTACGTTGTTTTCTCAAAAATTGATGACGTTGCTTTCACAAACAAGTGACGTAACAATCAATACCTGCTCCCAAGAGAAGATAACTCTGCAATACGCAAAGACGGAATACCAATATCAAAAGGTTATACGAACGGTGTTATTCCGAGGCTCTCATGTTTTACATATAGGTCTAAAGGTCTTCTTCTATCCAAATAACAAGGTGAGAAACAAGTGCTGCGCAAATATCTTAAATTTAAAAATTAGCTGCATTTATCATACTGTGATACATGTATATTCTAACTAGTCTGTGATATGTGTAATTTTACAACTTTTGTGTTCTTTATATGATGTATACAGCTGCGTTTCTATGATATTTGAAAGAGAGGGCGTAGAATAAAAAAATGGACCTTTTGTTTGCTAAAAAACATAAAATAATTGTGAAATGCACTTATGTAACGGTTCCTGATCTGGAGCATGTATATTTTATAGTTAAAACGTCAGGGTTTGACATTTTTTATGCCGAATTCTCTCCATTAATTGTCTATGGTATATTAAAATGATTGGATGGATCTTAACAGCAGTAGACCAATAACGAGAAATTCCAAATTCTAGGGTATAAGGCGTTACTTAACATTTCAATAGTCCTAGTCCAGGATTTTATGAACGGGAGGCGGAATTACGGTTGTCCTGGTAGAGGGTCCATGGGGAAGCTCAGAAGCTCCTGGATTTCATCAATTTAGCATCAAATTATGAAGTAGCCATATTCAATACAATATTAGCAGATAACGATAGTTTTGTTTTGTATTTGTTTTGTTTTTGAAAAAGGGGGGTGGCNTCACCTGGACCCGCCCCTGGTATATATGTATTAATACAATGCCGTATTGTGAAGTAGACATGAAATGACTTGTTTATCAATAGATCCTTAGATTTACATTTCGGGTAAAATGTGTAAGCATGTTGCTTTAACAAGACGACAATAGATACCAAGTATATTGGGTTCAATCGGATTGTATATTGGGTTCAATCGGATTGAAGCATTTACCGTACATGTCATAAAATTTCGAGTCTTCTAGTCTTTATCACAATGGTGTATAAAGCTCACCTATAGCCTGTATCAGAACCTGTCATATAAACTTTTAACCGAGGAAACCTTACAATATAATGCTTATATTTTCTAACTGGAATATTATTAGAGTGCATTTTACTTGACCCAGATGTATGAATCATACACCAAGAGTGGACTCTCTTCAATTCGAATACGTAATAATAATAATACTATTGACTAAACAAATGTTAATTTGGTGATTCAAACATAATTCTTACTGCAAATTTAACCATTACCATGGTGTGTTTATCCTTTACTCAAAGTGCTTACATATGCAACCCGTGCACGTTTACTTCCCTGTCATAAACTTTTTTTTTAAATATTCGTATGCATATCTTTTAGCATGATACTTACCCCGATCACAGTAAACCAGTTCACCCATTCAAACCTGACATCAACGAGAAAGCAGTGAGTATCAATTATTAGGACTTTGGTTTGTCTCGATAAGGGGACAGAACCCACAACTTACCTCACGTGGGCGAACTATAACAATGGGTTACTATTGCCAGGTACACCGTACCCCTGAACGGTAAAAACCGCTGACGTATGCAATCTCCGATACTACCATCAATTAACACTGTGTCACACTAACTCCTATCACAGGCTTTATCTTGACACGTATATTACCCATTAAATACATATTGCGTAGCAAACTACATTTCTGCATGTTACATGTACAAACATATATGTCTTACTAGTTGTACAGGTGTAGGTAGATATTAATTGTCTGAATAAAACAATCTTACAGAATAATCATCGACAAAAGAAACTTAAATACTTGACAGCAGGTAACTGTTTACGGATCAGAAGCCGAATTCTGATTTGATAAGCAAGACATTCGTTGTTTTGCATTTTAACATTTTTTTAAATGCCCCCTTTTTTAATTTTTGTATAAGTATGTCGTTTAGCGATAGAGACATTAACAACCTGGCCCCAGATACTAATACAGTGATAATCTAAAAAGATTCCTCGACAATCCCGACTATGTAAATTCTGCAATACTGTAGTAGATGAAGTACATTTTATATTTAAATGCAAAATAAATTTAAATATCAGGACTACGTTTCTCCAAAAAAATAAAATTAACCCATCATTGCCTGATCTACAAAATTTAATATTATTATTTTTATCTAGTGACCCACAACTTTTGCAGGAAATAAGCCTCTTTATTAAAAAGTCATTTGAACTGAGGAAGGCAGGCTTGCAGAATGCATAAGAATGTAGTTTTTGCTGTCCATTATACAGTATCAATGTTTGTTTGATGTTTGCAGCTCGATCCTTGAAAATTGGATGTTAAAATGCAATAAAGTTGATTGATTGATTGATAATAAATTAGAACGCAATGTCAAATAGACAGGGTGTCAATATCTAGCACAGCAATGCCGTTTGAGATTAAGGGCGGTTTGCTTTGGGTTTTACGTCCTTGAAGCAGCTTAAGGAGTTTCCACCCTTCGTAATACACATGTTTTTCTTGTCGTATTTTCGTGTCGTCATTTCCGTATTGCGTATCGGGCATTCCATTACCGTGGTGTAAATTATAGTAACACCGGGTAAACAATAGTACACGTGCGTGACGATGATATGCCAACACCCGATATCGAGACTTAACTTGGAAATGTGTAATCACACGTACTTCAGAAATAAAGCTTATGATACAAAGACATTAATTAACTCACGGGCAAACACTGACTTATGATCAGACGACTTCCAAGAAGGTCGTATATGAGGCGCATGGAATGCAGACTGATGTGTTTTGTTTACCGACCTCACCTGTACGTATCACGTGCTAACAGTAGTTCACAAGCTCTTGGTCGCTACGACTTTTGTTGTCGAGCGAGTTACGCTCTGTCAGATAAATCGGTTCACAAATGCAATTACAATAACTCTGTTAAAAAGTGGTTTGTAAAATATCAAGATCCCTATAAAATGCAAGTGCATGTGCGTGCACGTAATAACGGCATACCATGCGATAGCCTATGGTTACATATGTACCTGACATGTTAATATACCATGCGTAAGCAGGCTATGGAATGATGTCCAAAGTGTACATGATTGAGAGTAATTTTGTTCCATAAAAGAACAGTAAATTGACAATTAAATCTAGTAATTTAAATTACTTCCGTCGTTTTTTTGGTATAGTAAAAAAAATAAGTGTCATTGTATAAATTCTATCCCTCTGCAAAAAGTTCCGTTTTTTTTCAAGGTAGACAACTCTCATCAGGATCAAAATTATTGTAAAATGTAAAATAAATTAATTATAAAGACTTTGTGTGCATTTGGTTCAATTTTTCAGTCTTTTTGTATGAAACTTTGTGTCCTGTTTGCTTTTAGCTTGTATTTAGTAACTGTTATCCATACAATTTCAATAAAAAACGCTTTTTGTTACATGTTGCAGATATTTTATGATAAATAAAATATTTGTAGGGTTGATTAGCAATGTTTCTTTTCATTATTTTATTGTTGTTATAGTTTTGAACAATGCCACACGCTCAAAAAATGTAAGTGTTGAATTTGACAAAAATTTAATATTTCGGTATTTTTTACAAAAAGATCCCCAGTTTATCGGAATGCTTAGATTTTCATAAAATCATCTCTACAGAGTGACATAACCATTATGTGAAACTTTCATTGAATTCTGCTGGCTAATTGCGAAAGGGTGGAGCCTCCTTAAGTCATATGAAGACAGTGTCAATGAACCATGGGACATGTCAATTGTCATTGTGAAGAGCTGTCTGACAACGTGTTATAACCTTGACCCAGTTGCAGGACACTGCACCTGATCACATGACCCTTTTGTCACGGTAATCAGTCCTTACCACCAACTATTTTCAGCTGAACTTCAGGCAAGGGACATTAAGTACACATTTTAAGTACTTGTTATACTTTTTATCGTTTTTCTGTTCCAGCAAAGAGTATTAGTGGGTCTGTTGTTATTATTGATTTTTAGACAGACATGTCAATAGACGGTTTTGATGAACCTTTTATTTTCGGGAAGGCCTAACCGCTGCAGTCGCTTCCCCAAACCTAACAATTTTTCACCAACTATATTACATTGACTATTGAAAATTAGTAGCCAATAATCTTATTTGTTCCTATACTCGACGATGTTAATGCGGCTAATTGGTTGCATTTTCCGGTCTCGAAAATAGTAACTTTCGAAAACTTTCACTCAAAAAATACTAGATAGAAACAATCGGGAAAATAAATGATGTTTTAAAAAAAACAACCAACATAGGTACTGCATGCACGTGAAGTTTACACATGCTCAAATATGTTAAATTGAATATGACCTTCATGACTAGTATAAGTGGCTGACCGACCTTGATGACCTAAGAATACATCCTACGAAGTGAAGTTATGTGCCGTGAAGCACTATTAATAATATGAGGCTAGATTTCA